AATTCCTGGCCGACTATGACTACACGGTACATCACAAGCCAGGGAAGTGTAACATAGCAGACCCGTTGTCACGTCGACCAGACTTGGAACTGAATGGAATCGAGTTCTCTCTGGATGTGAATCAAGGAATTGCGAATCAGATCTCAGCAGGGTATGATTCTGACCCAGAGCTTTCGCCAGTAATCAAGCGCTTGATGGCTTGCAGCGAAGACGCCATGCATGAGCGATACGTCTGGAACAGTGTGGACCGGCGGCTGTACCTAGTAACATCGGGCGATGCTCGCCTCTGCATTCCTCGCGGTCCGGTACGGCTGCAACTGCTCAAACAGAATCATGATTGCCTGACGGCCGGCCATCCGGGGAGAGACAGGACCTACCTGAAGCTGAGCAGATACTTCTATTGGCCAGGCATGAGAAGTACTGTGAAGGACTTCGTTAAATCTTGCGACCGGTGCCAACGCGTAAAGGGTAGCCAGACCAAGGCAGGACTGTTGCAGTCCCTTCCAGTCCCCGAACAGCCCTGGACAGACATCAGCATGGATTTCATCATGGCACTGCCGCTGACCTGCCGAGGACATAGCGCCATTCTAACCTTTGTGGACCGTCTGACGAAGTATGTGCACCTGATCCCGACGACTGTTCATGTTGACTCTAAGGAGGCAGCCCGATTGTACGTGGATCATGTGTTTGCTGCCCATGGCTTGAGCAAAACGATAGTTTGTGATCGAGATCCGCGATTCACGTCGGCATTCTTCAAGGAGGTTTTCAGTATTCTTGGCGTGGAGCTAAAAATGAGCACGGCCAACCACCCGCAGACCGATGGCATGACTGAGCGTGTGAACCGTGTCATTGAGGATACGCTAAGAGCTTTCGTCAACCATAGGCAAAACAATTGGGATGAACTCCTATCGCTATGTGAGTTTGCGATCAACAATGCCGATCAATCGTCAACAGGTAACACGCCATTTTTCCTCAACCATGGATGCCATCCAGTTACTCCCTCGAGCTTATTGACGAAGCAGAAAGCTGGAGCTGGCATGGACACGAATGGTCCGCTGTCATGGCTGGATGGCCGCGTAGAGGCACTACGTGAGGCACAGGATGCCATCGTGGCGGCGCAGGCCCGGCAATCATTGTATGCGGATCGAGGATGGGTGGAGGACGCCCTGAAGGAGGGGGATGAGGTGTTGGTCTTCAGGGACTTCCTGCTGACGCCCGAGGAACGAGACAGGCCTTCACACAAATTAAGGCTCAAGTGGTATGGGCCGTTCAAGGTTCAGAAGAAAGTGGCCCCGAATGCGTACAGATTAGCTCTTCCAAGAATCATTCGGGCCCATCCAGTGTTCAATATTGCTGCCCTCAAGCTGTACCATGGCAATGAGATACCGGGCCGTACTCAGCCGGCACCTCCACCCCTAACCGATGCGGATGGCCATACGCGGTACATTGTCGAAAAGGTGTTGTCGCACAAGAAGAGAGGACGGCACACGCAGTACCTAGTGAAATGGAAGGGCTACCGAGATGCCACCTGGGAGCCGGAGGAATACTTGATGGATGAAGCAGGAAACTCTATTATTCCGCTGAAAACCTACCTGGACCGTTTTTCATAAAACCGCTATTTAATTGGCAGCCACAGTTGTATTGCTAGTTTCTACGTGTTGCAATGGAAATGTAGCATTCTGCATGATTAGGATAGTGCTTCACTGCCAGCCAGGCGTTATTTGCAGAGGACATGCACTGGATCTTGAGTTCATCAGTGTTGTTTTCGGCTACCATGCATTCCACATATCCATGCATGATCATTAGTTACCATAACTGTTCCTTCGAATTGGTACTGTTCTGACAGTTGAGAGGGGGGAATGGTGTAACAGATTCACTGTTACTACTAACACTAGGAATAGGATACACTTATCACCTGCTATTATCACGCTGCTGCTGTTAGGTGTTATGTCCATCATTGCTTGTTCATGTATATAAGAATGCATTATGGCAAGGATCATTGCTTATTCCAAGAATGACTACTGAAGTTAGTTGGACTGTTACAATGGCGGTGAGTGTGATTGCTCTGGTAGACCACTACCCCATGTACTGAACAGTCGCTTTGTGAGTGAAAAAATGGTTGTGTTTGATTCTTTGATGTAATCTTTCACGGGCGTACGCCGCTCGCCTCCAGGATTGGTTCCCATGCCAACTGATTAACCAACATTCCACACAATTGAAGTGCTGTTTTTCGTATCCCAACATCCACAAGCTGCTGGACGATGTCATTGCTATGCATTTTAGATTTTAAAAGACTGCACTTTTCCCCGTTTTATGGATGTTTTGTTCAGCATCACGGACAATTGTATGCAGTCTTGAAAGCTGCCTAAGTTTCTAATCATCTGGAGCAAACATCACACAGGGCAAGCAGAAGCCACCATTGCACGCCGGTCAAAAGACTACCCAGGGTAACTCCTGTAACAAGGATAGTTGAAAGTGGCGCTGTTTGCCATCTGTCTGGACACGCACAGGAAATGAAATCCTTTGCCTTCGGTGGCGCGCAATGATTGTTGATGACGAAAATCTTTTTCAGGAGGTATCAGGACGCCGAATGTCTCAGTACTCCTTGTCAGGTTTGTGCCATTTTGTCGCACTCACTGACTGTATAAGATCTGGTTACGTTGGTGGACAGTTAGTCATAAATCGTAACATTTTGTCCTTCTTCTTTTCACAATAGTATATTTATTTTTGTTATTATCCGCATTCCCGCATTGAAGTGTAGCAGCAGTATGCTGCGTGCACAGCTTCGCTTATGCAGAATGGCTTGGGTGAGAGGAGAGGGGAGGGAAAGCAACAAGGCAACCAACAACTATGAGATTTTAGTATACCTGTACAAGTAAAAAGTAAAAAGGACCAAGGGCCTACAAGTTACACTATAATGTCCACTAACACCACCAGTTACTAAACTATCAGCTGATGCGGTAACATTGCACGACACTAACCGACGGCACTTACGTGATACCGTCGGTCAGTGTCGTGCAATGTTATCGCATGAGCTGGTTGTTTAGTAACTGGTGGTGTTAGTGGACATTATAGTGTAACTTGTAGTTCCTTCGTCCTCTTTACTTTTTATAATTAATCATTGGCTCTCCATCCGAGTTCATTCTAACTGTAGAAATTTGTAACATTTCCTCCAGACAAAAAATATTGGAAATAAAAGCCAAAAATCGTAAAAACCGACTTCTCCATTCTGGCTGCTGTGGACCCCAAATCATGGATAAATGGCTTCATATCATGTATTTCTATCATCAGGAACACATATGAACAGGTTGCAACAGTAACATCACTGAATTTGCCAATTTCATATTTTGGCCATTTCACCATCGTGGGGCACCGACAAATGCCCCCCCCCCCCCCCCCCGCTCAGGGGGGTTAATATTGCTTTACAAAAATGTTTGCCATGATGTGTTTGCTTGCCATGCATACATAATGCCAAACCGCCATTGGGGATATACAACCGTTCTTTTTCCCTCACTATCACTTCTCTCGGCGAGAGGGGTTTTCCCAGCTGGCTCGGTCCAGAAAAATTAATCTGACGGTCCCAAGAGGTTCTGCATCATGGTCGATTTCTGCTATCCGCTTGCAAAACTTTTTCCATTTGAGACACTTTATTTTCAGTCCTTGCCACCATACCTCACTCTTTATCTGGTTCACATCTGGCTGCGGCCAACTACCCTTCACTTTGTGTGTTATCGCTATCGCTGTCTATGTCTCTGTGTGTGCCAATATTTGTGGAGCGAGAACAGAACAATATTTTTTTATTAATCTACTCGTGTCCAGTGACGGTACTGGCGATTGAGAAGACAAGGAATAGTTATTGGGCGAGGAATTTCATCTTCCCTGATGATTTTAGGCCATTGCAGCGCTCCCTCTCGTTGCTACTTTGGGGGGGGGGGTCTTTTTCCTTTGACTTGATCATTGGTATTTTACCATCAAAAAAAAAAAAAAAACTTGGAGAGTGAATACTGCAATGGCTTTAGCGATGGGAGTTCTCACATTCAATTCAGATCCTTAGAAGACATCGCTGCTACAAGTCTCTGCAGATGTCTACCACCACTACTCGCCATTGGCAGCAGCTGTAGCAGGCTAAAAGCTAAAGCTAGGCTAAAAGCAGCGAAACTGAACGAAACACAGTTAAGAGAGCATGTCTGAGAATACCAAAGTATGTGTGCAAGTGGATCTCTCCGATTTCGCTCAAAATTTGCAGGTAGGTTCCCTTTGGGGTGTGGATCGATTGTGCAAAGCCCTTGAAAAAGTTTCTGAAGGGAACCTTGAAATTTGCATACCCCTCAGAAATGGCCGAAATATCACATTATTTATGGGTCTAGAAACGAGTTACGCCACAGCGTATACGAACAAGCTATGAACAAAAACTCCATCAAGCCAACATTGCCTCACCTTAGAAGAGTTCCTTGAGCAGGACCGCTTAGCCACGCCAGCATCCCAGGAGACGAGGTCCATCACCCCCTGACGCCACAAATGATCGTCTTGAAAATAGCCAATTTACAAGCGCTGGCAAAACAGCCAGCTTCGTTGTCAATTCACCAGAACTATACACCGGCAGATAGTAGAACACCTCTTCTAGCGCTGAGGACATGTCCCCCATCTTCCTTTTGGGGTTTTCTTGAAATAAACTTTTTTTGAATTTTTCCACTCGACCATGCTGAAATACGGCCAAAGTCATACCTGCGCAGGAAAGCTCGCCACTCCGCGACGTCTCCTCAGCAATTTCTACTCCAACACTACTCCCAAGGCCACAGAACAAAGTGTAGTGTTGACTCTTGCAAGGAAAAGCAGCGGTGATCACTTGTCACTCCAAACGACAAGCTTCTCCTTGCGCCACCAATAATTTTTTGTGCGACTGTTGATGCAAAAGTGACTGAAGGCCTGAGCGCAGTTTTTGAATTTTATTACAAGATGAAAAAATATGTGTCCATACAAAAATTTCACATCCGACTTACTTGTGCAGGTTTCGGTCCATGTCCAAAAACCGTCTCCAGATGCATTACACATTGCGGGGCCTGAGGCAGTTGCTTTGAATGTATCGTATCTACAAGTGACAGTACCATTGGAGTCAACTTGTTCGACGCCATCGAGATTAGTATGGTTGCAAGCTGCATTGTATCATTAAAATAACCGGAGAAAAGATAAGAGACAGAGAAACGTTATACTTGCGTCAACTCATCACTTTGTTGCAGCAGAAACACAGACACACAAACACACGCACACACACACAATCCCTCCCCACATACACACACGTGTTGTCGGGTGTTAGACTTGCCAATGGGCTTATCCGCTAAAAACCGACAATAATTCGCACTTGTCATGACCCGGATCAGACTCGTCATGAAATCGACCACGCATTGAGTTCAGCAGCCAAAAGCTGGGCTATTGTAGTTCTGTAAGAACCATGATTAGTCCTACGAAGGATTTGGCACTTTCGTTAGTTGAGCAATCATGGCTTACAACTCGTGGCCTAGAGCGGCAAAGTGTTGTCGTATGTTGGCAACACCTTCAGTACAAGTCGTCAGCGTTGTACTCACTACACTGTTGAGCTTGAGGGGACCACGCTTAGTCCTGCAAGGGGGCTGATACCTTTGTAAGTTGAGCAAGAGTGTCGCCTCTTCTCGTGTCGTAAGACGCAAAGGGTCGACAGTACTTCGCGTACTGTGGACTCCGTACCCTTTTGGAGGGAACACGGCATTGCCGCCTGCTGCTACGTTTGGAGAAAGATCCCATATTGGGTGAAGCCACAAGAACGACGCAGCTACGCTTTTCACCTGCTGCTATGCATTCCAGCCACCGGATCGTGGACCAAGACCATGCCAGCATCACTGTATTCACATTTGGATGAGCGGGCTCCCCGTATTGATCTTTGTGTTGTAGTACGTTATTTTGTGTACGCCGTGTGTACATCATGTTGGCGCATGCGCGTGTTTCTGTGGTGTGAAAAGCTGTCTTCGTCTTGAGTTCGTCATGTCTAGTTGTGTTTCCGTCGTCGTCTCGTAATAAACAGTCTTCCTAAATGTAGTTATCGTCGTCCCTTTGTACAACTGTGGAGATGGCACGGGACTGGGAGCAGGTAGAGAAAGGCAGTTGCAACATTTGTACTATATTCTAGTTTGGCTGATTGCATCACTGTTCGAAATATAGAAATAATCCTTACCCATTCTTGCCGCGGTATACTTTTTATCAGATAATGTAGTTTATATAAGGAGCTGTTTTGCTAGCATTCATCCTCGACTCTCGGGGAGCTCACTACTCCTTCAATTCGTTCTCGATTCTGAGAGAGTCACTCCGACTCTCTCCTGCTTTGGGTCTTTGACTCTTCACGCTTGATCTTTCTGTCGAGCACTGCAATGGTTCAATAAACACTGTTCAAGTAGAAACCTGTCGTTCTGTGTGACCTAGCTAACTTGGATGGCGACTATATTGGTCGTCTACCTGGGTAGCCACTAGACTGATCTAAGGCGGGTCACAAACCCGCCAACGTGGGCCATGACACACTGAAACAAGGTACAAGAATGAGGGGTCACTGGTCCATATGCCATTTTGCTACGTTCCCACCACCGAGACATGGGGATAGTCCCTGCCATTGCAGAAACTCAAATGAAGCCGCCACGGAGCAGCACAACAACAAATCAGCAAGGACTGCAACAGTAGTGCAAGATTGCCCTCACAAGCGCAGCAGCATGTACAACAAAGAGACACAAGCGCAGCAGCATGTACGAAAAAGAGCTACACGCACAGCCACATGTACAACATATAGATCTACATGTACATACCTCGCGCCCTCCGAAAAATGTTGCAAGATCTACTAGTAGTACCGGTAATTTTGGCAACATTGCGGACAAGTTGTTTTCACTTCCCAAGCCCGGGGTTCTTATTTTTTCAGTGACAGCTCTATCCGCGCTACTACTGTAGAACGAGTAATTTTAGCGACGTAAAAACCCTAGCGAATTTAGCGATCGACTCATTTTCGCTAAAGTTTCAAGTCGCTAATCCGTTGAGACATTAGTAGTGCACTGGTGATCCGTGAGTACAATGCAGTACTACACCTGTACTTATCAGTAGTACTAGTGTACTGTACATAATACTAGTAGTCTAGTACTAGTAAGGCAATTATTAGCACATGTTTTATGATGTTCTCTCGTACTAGCACTCATAGTATACGGTAGTGATGGTTTGTACAACAGTAGTAGAATGCAGTATCAAAATGTGTACAATGAAGAAAAATGCAAATCGCTAAAATAAAACGTCGCTAACCGGTTGACAATTGGCAAACGCAAAAATAATAGTCGCTAGAATTACCCGCTCTACAGTATTAGAGACTGGGCTATTATTGGAGACTGGGCTCTTATTTTTTTTCAATTGTCAACTATCAAGCCAACTCCAATCTATACAGGCATAAACTGACCATATCAAGACTGATTTTTCAACCCTACACTCAGGAATATTGTCAAAACAGATGTTTCACAATAGCATTGGCGCCAGGAAGGAAGCAGTAGACCAAAACCTCCTTACAAATATGTTCTTGGCATGTTGTACTGCTGTTTTATATGCAGTCAATATACTTGTTCCATACTCCAATTGTGACCCGCGCTACTATTAGAGACTGGGCTCTTATTATTTCAAACCACCATCACCCCGGGTCATTATTGGAGACTGGGCTATTATTGGAGACCTGGGCTTTTATTAGAGAAGTTACGGTAGCTTTTTTTTTTTGTGATCGCGACCTTCGTTGTTGGCCTTTTGTGATTCGCTCTCTGCTCGTCGAGTAGAAAAGTAGTATGTCCAGGTTGACGATCCCCACTTTGACAAGGAGTGCTTCGGCATCACCTCTATCTGTATCGATCGATCAGCGCGCCTCTCGTTCGGGTGTTTGGACGAACTTTTCCAAGTCGTCCAGCGATGGCAACAAGCTAGTTGCTGTCTGTGATGCAATGCCTGTGGCAAGAGTCTTTCCTACAATGGTGCGACAACGTCGAACTAGCTGGAACAATGGAAGCACCAGCACAGTAAAATGGTGACGGACCAGCCGACCCTGACAAAGCATTTCGCTCCATCAGCGAGGTCCACCAAAGTGTGTTCTGCCGCAGCGCAAGACGAAATAACGAAGATTCTTACCAGTTGGTGTTGGACGGATTTGCGGCCATAAACATTGTTGCGGATGACGGACTTTGTCCGTCTCCTCAACTTTATCGAATCTAGATATTGGGTTCCGAGTCCGCAAGACATTGAGAAGAGGATACTCGCTTTGCAGCACGAGTCTGTTGAGTTGCTGAAGGCGAAGCTGACGTGCGTTACAGCCGTCACTCTCACAACAGATATTTGGACATCGTGTGCCACGCAAGCGTTTGCAACGACAAGGGGACATTTTGTCACGGAGGACTGGGAGCTGAAATCGATGTGCTTGGAAACTACTCACTTCCCGGGCAGTCATACATTTTGTCATGATTTGTTTCTGTGTGTGTGTGTGTGTGTGTGTGTGTGTGTGTGTGTGTGTGTGTGTGTGTGTGTGTGTGTGTGTGTGTGTGTGTATGCATGGTGCACGCGCACATGCACATGGATGTGTACATGAGGGAGTGGCCGGTCAAAACTATTTTAAAACAGTATTTATAATTTCAAATTTGGACTTCACGGAGAATTTCAAAGTGTTTGGAAATTAGAGGCCACATGCTACGTACTGCTCTTTACTCTTTACTGTGGATAAGAGTAATACTGTAGCTCAGTAGCTCAGTTGGTTAGAGCATTGCTCGCGAATAGCAAGGTCCCTGGTTCGAGTCCCGGTGGTGTGACTGATTTCTTTCATATCTGGCTTGTAAGTGTTGAGTTTCGGAGAGAAAAGAGCAGTACGTAGCATGTGGCCTCTAATTTCCAAAGTATTTAAAATGCCAAGAATTTTGTGAAGAAAGAGAAGAAACACATGAAAACGAGTTATGCAGCAACTACGAAGTGATTTGGCTTTTTTGAACATTTGGCATTTTTTTAATGTGTAAAATTTGCATTTCTTCTGGCTGTTTCTCTGCTCCGGATGGCTGTATCGAAACATGGGTGGTGGCAAGTGAGAGCCAGTTTATCGTAGATCAACATTGACCAGAAAATTGTGTGCATATAATTTAATTCTCCCTGCCACGTCGGTATAACTAGTGGTGGGTGCTTTGCCATTTTGTGTAAAACGAGTAAAAATGGGCCCCTGAATGGACGAGGAGGGCAGTGAATTGCTTCCGCAGGGCCTTTGGACGACGTCAGGCCGTCTTGCTATCACTAAAGACAGTAATGAACAACAGTAGGTCACGGAATACACTCTGTGAGAACGAAAACATGGCTGCGATGCTATCCTACCAATCCAATTCCACCGTATAACACAGCCACTAGTTACAAATACAAAAACACGGCTTTTGCAGCATACAATGCAGTTCACTCCTCTGTTGACAGATTAACTTTCATCCACTAGCAATCCTTGAAGAGACATTACACACCTCCTACGTGGCACTTGACACAATCATCATCATACTTTACACTATATGCATTAGCACCTGTATTGCTGTACTGGTATTTAGAGGGCTTATGATTGTTGATGAAGGCAGAGTTATCCTGGACAATACAACCGTCTCATATCTATCAACTTCAGAACATTGATGACCGAATATCCCAGTTTGTGATGCAATTTTACAAATTTGTTAAAAAATGACACACCAATTATTTGAATCCTGAGAATACTAAGGAAGTAGGACATGATTCAAGACACTTTCCAAAGTGGGATCATTCCCATTTTTGGACACAGCGGGCATGAAGGATAGCACTTCCACTTGCAACAATTCATTTGGACGTAGCTTGTCTAGAAGTGACTGAAAAAACGTCATTTTTACAACCATGTTAAAACAAGCCAAATCACCTCGTATCCACGACTGTAACTCGTTCTTATGTGTTCCTTCTCTTTTTTACATTTATTACTGGCTCATTATCCGAGTTTAAATTTTGTGAAGAATATTCGATATTCGTTCGATAAGGAAAGTATTCGTTCGTTAACCCTTTAAGAGCCGCGCCATACTTGAATGCGTCGTAAACGACGCATTCAAAACTTCAAAAGATCGTAACTCAGTCCAATCTCCCTCAAATCCAGTTATCAAAATATCCAGGGCAAAGAGAAAACTCTCACCTGTCGGGAAAAACAATCCGCAAAGCGCTGCGAGCAACGGTTCCTGAGATAAATCACTCGTAACTTGAGCCGCGATCGAGGCAATTTCAAAAGCGCGCAGTGCGACTTTAGTATTGAGAATTTTGAGACTTTTCGTCACGCTGGTTTACTCGATTTTGCACGGGTTTCACTGTTGATATTGTCAAGAGTACACTGCGAAAAATATTGGAACTCCATAATCGAGTAAAACGAAATATCTGGAGCGGGACGCAATTGGACGCATTTGGGGCATTTTTCGTACTGTCGCTGCGATCTAGTGCTAGATAGACGGTGTGCTGGCTATCATGACCGACCGTATTCTCTTCCTCTCACGGAGACCATTCCAGGAAGCCCTAGATTGTAAGGATTGAGTGAGTAGAACTGAAGCTATGATCCAAGGAACACGAAAAAATGCAGAATTTTGAAATTTTCCTGTGGCTCTTAAAGGGTTAACCTTATATTCGTTGCAACCTTAATGATTATAGTAGACAACCATGTTAACTCTGCTAAAGATCCCCAGGACTGCAAAACATACCTTCACATGTGGGTACTGCTGTGAAGGCTCCTCCAGCGAATGTGCAATTCATTGGATAATTCAAGTTCGAAAGATAGAATCCCGCCTCGCAGGTAACACTGTACGATGTGTATTTTTCATCACGACTATGACCACTTCCATTCACACTTTTACTATTGTCAATTTGTGGCAATGAGCATACGGCTGCACAACAGCAACAATAACATAACCAACAGCAGCAGCAGCAACAATAACCACAACAACCATCAAGAAGAGCCCGGGAAAGAAGGTTTGTGACCATTAATTTTTGACTTTTGACATGCACCAAAAATACGAAATTTGAACATGTATTGTGCATGCATGCAATAGAAAATTTGTGCTGAGAACGTCGATTGGCCATTCCAAAAGTACAAAGCCATTTATTTATTTATTTTATTTTATTTATTACAGAATCTCATAGCACAGTGAGAACACCGGCCAATGCAAAGACAGAGGGTGTTAGCCAACCACGGCAAGGAAGGGAGAAGGGGAGGAGAAGAAAAAGAACCGGCATGAATAAGCATTGAGCATTGAGCAAGCTGTGACCCTGACATCTCGTCCATTGGTAGCCAGGGCAACCCTGAGCTGGAAATTGTAAAAAATGGCATGCTACACTCTATCGTATACCTTTACTGCACGATTTGAGGCATGGAGTAGTAATACACCAGTATCTTACTACTCCCTGATATTAAATGCATGGGCGTCGTCATCTTCATCCCGCAGATCGAAAATATACAGGTGTTGCGTGGACTAGCGCTGTTGCAACTGTCTTTTCTCCACCTGCTCCTAGTCCCGTGCCATCTCCACACTTATACAAATGGACTACGATAACTACATTTAGAAAGACTGTTTATTGCCGTAGCTACAAAACACAAAATACAAAATACAAAATCAAAAAACAAAAACACAAAAAAGAATGGGATACGGAGCTTGGTTGGCTGTGATTCAGAGTTTCACACCTGTGGCAATCATCAGACAGCAATGATTGCAAGGCAAGCCATGAACTTGCAAGGCATGAGGCATGAGCGAATGGAGAAGAGTACCGAGTTGCCGAAGCTCATCTGGAACATGAAGCGCAAGAATGCCGGGTACTGCATCAGTTGGTCAGTTGTCGCCCAAACACCAGCATACTCCAATGCCACCAAGCGCTGCCCTCTCTATCTGCGTGAGAAGCTGGAGATCTTGCATGCTGACAGAAGGGTGAACATCAACAAGCGATCGGAGCAAGTGGCCAAGTGCAGACATGAGAACAAATTCTACCCGTCAGGCGAAATTACTGGTCAGTCGGCGACACGCATTTTTCACAAAAATTTGCGTTTCACCTGCTGGGAGAGTATGCGTGTACTCGAGTCTCATCCTGAGCACGTTTTTTTCTTCTTTTTTTCAGCTCCAGTATAGCTGTATTTTCATTGCAAAGCCGTCCTCGATTGTTGTGTTCGTTGTTCAAACGAAGTGGACATTCAATCATGAAGGCAGAGGACATAGGAGCCTGATTGGAGTTTCTCGTGGCATAGGACGGCCACACAGAGACACTTTGGGATTTTCTGAATATAAAATACCGTACGCACGATGCTGAGATCAATTTGTGCGATATCAAATTGTTTGTGATCTACCACATCGAGCAGAACGGGATCCAAACACAAGCTTACCGACGGTTAGGCTGCCGACCTGACTGGACAAATGATCCCTGGCTTCACCAGACGCCAGAAGTCGGACACCATGTCCTTTGCCGCGACGCCAATCTCCAAAAAGAACTCCATCTTCGTCGTGAAAAGGCTTGAAATACTCAATATTCAACCGAGATTCGCGGTCTCACCCTTTCTCAGATCGAATCATTTTTTGTTGTAGCAGTTGCAGGGCAGATCCCCGCCACTACTTCAACAGAAGATGGCTCCAAAGCATGCCTGGAACAAGCCAGATCGAGGTTGCAAGCAAAAAATTCGAAGAAATTCGAAATTTCAATGGTGGAAGATATACTATGAATAGAATTTCAAAAAGTATGTTTCGCGGAGCGATCGCTCAACCTACGTCATTCAAACTTTGCAGGATGGTTCAGACGTACATGCTAGGCATGGAACCACAGAAGATGATATCATAGCTGACACACAGAGTCACACACACAGCAGATTCGTGTGCACAGATACTAAATTAGTGGACGTCGTCATCTTCTTCCCGCTGATCTCAAATGTACTATGACGTGCTATTTCGCCTGACGTATCTAACTTCACACCTCCAGTCACATAAACCAGGATTACACCTGATGTCTGGCGCTGATCTCGCAAGTACATGCATAGAATCACCGCTTGACCTTATTTGCGCTTAACCTTTTGAGGACTGGCCCGAAAACCCTGGTTTCCTGGCCAATTTCATGGAAAAATTGCCATTTTTCAAAAACGCTTATATTCATCCAATACTTTGCCCAAAGTGTTGCTTGGCATATATGTACATCGAATCCCCCAAAAAATTGGTTATATTTGCTCACAGCAGTGTAGGATTTGGCATTCAAAAACATATGTTTTTACGGAATTTCAGCAAAGTTAGACTTTTCCAGTGTCTGTGTCCAATAAGTTGAGGCTCCATCCAGCTCTTTATGTTCTGAGCAGTTTCAATAATTCTTCTTTGTGTGGTAGGCCTTGAAACACCCACCAATGCACAGAGGTGGCTTGTCATGGCATGTTTCGCACATCACGGTTGTGTCCTTCCTCCGGCCATGGGAGAGGCAAACACGGCATCTACGGCGCGGACGATCGTTGTTCTCAGTCGGAGGCATTTCAGCAGGCCAGTGTCTCCCAAGCAGGCGATCCTGGTTGCCAGTGTCAGCTGCAATTGCTGGCTGCTCGGCCTCTGACAGCAAGCTGCTGGCTGCTTCTTTCAAGAAGCCATAGTGGCTAATAATTTTGTGCGATAGCTGCTTGTAAATAATAAAGGCGTTTTGGAGGCCTTCCTCGAGGTAATGGAATCCAACCTTTTTGTACCACTTCACGGATTTTCGAAGGCCAGAGTGAGCTGCTACCATCGAATCGTTCTTGTCAACTCCTCCCATGTATTGATTGTAGTTGTGGTTGATCGTGAGGCGGTGGATCCGTTGGCGCTGTCGGTTGCGTTTGCCGGTGGCGGTGGTGTCAGTGTTATGGATGTTAGAAATCATGTAGACCATTTTTCTGTCGTGCAACTTGATAATCTCCATTCTTCCTTTGCGCAGGTAAGCAAATTTGCCTTTAGGCACATCTTCGTCTTTCAATGTTTTAGGTATACCAACACGGTTGGAGCGCAGCGTTCCACACACGCTAGTGTTTCGGTCTGTCAAGTACTCGCACAATGGAAGGCTGTTGTAGAAGTTGTCTAGGTAGAGATGGTAGCCTTTGCCAATCAGGTCCCGTAGGAGAGAGACCACCACTGCACCAGACACGCCGAGTTCTGTAGTCAATGGCGACGGGGTGAGGGGCTTTCCAAGGTAAATGGATGAGTTCCAGTAATAGCCTTTGTGATCACATAGCGCAAAGATCTTCACCCCAAAACGGGCACGCTTGCTAGGTATGTATTGCCGAAATGACACTCGGCCTTTGAATTTGACCAGCTCTTCATCAATACTAATCTCCTTCTTCGGCTTGTATGATGTACGGAACATGTTATTCATCAGGTCAATTAGTGGACGGACTTTGCGCAGTTTGTCAGCAGCATCAGCAGGCTGCGTGTTGTCGGCAAAGTGTAGAAATTCTAAGATCGCCGAGTATCGGTCACGGCTCATGGTAGCACCAAACACAGGAGTGTGTACCATAAAATCAGTGCTCCAACATTCTTTCAGCTGAGACTTTGGGTTGATGCCAGTCAATATGTACAGTGCTAAAAAATGTCAGCATGTCGACGCGCGTAACAGGCCTCCAGTTTCTGGCGAGAGCGTTCGGCCGCAAATCATGGCTGGAAATGTACTGCTGTGCATACAAATTTGTTTGAGCGACCAACAAATCAAGTACAGTCAGACCTCGTTTATCCGGTCCTCGTTTATCCGGATCCCTCGCCATCCGGAAGAAAATCGCTGGTTACCGATGTGCAGCATATGTTATGCATACAACATAACCGGACCTCGCGATCCGCATACCGGTGCATGATTTTGTGTACAAACTGGTTAAAATGTGTACAAAATGCTTCGTCGTATCCGGTTGCATGTGGCTGGCTAGAGCTTGCAGAAGCTAGTATCAAGGAGTTGTACAAGCAAATGAGGTCCTTGACCTGCTGGGTGTGTGCGGACAGCACTCAGTTGCATGCACTTTTCATTTTTCTCGCTTGTTTTACATACTGGGCACGCTACATGTAGTTGTACTGCATAGGACCTGTCTACATGTATGTATGATGTCACTGCTTTTGACATGCCACGTGCATGTACAGTATGTGTGTTCAGTTATCCGGTTACCTCGCCTATCCGGATGTTTTTGTGGAAAACAGATGTGTGCGGTTAAGCGAGGTCTGACTGTACATCATCATTGATGAGTAAACGTACACACTTATGCACAGTAACTTCTCCCAGATCTGCCGTGCACCCAGGCTGTTCAGAGTAATCAACAGGCGTATTGGCATCGTTTCGTCTCGTCCATTGAGTGTCGTCCTGAGACGCTGCAGAATTATCAAATCCATGGCAGCACTCGTGCATGTGAATATCTCCAGGTTCGTTTTCGGGTTCGCTCTGCTCGTCGTCAGCATCATCAGCTACATGTTCAGCGAAATCGTCTGCGTCGACAGCTGCGTCGACAGCCGCATCGACAGCCGCATCGACAGCCGCAGTCGATGTGTCACTATTGGCTAGAAATGAATTATCGGCGCTCGCATCAAGATGCTCAATTTCCACGGCTTCTCCATCACTCTCATCGCTCTCGTCGCTCTCATCACTCAATAGCTCCCGGTCGGGTTCATTCTCACTTGTGCTGTCCATGAAGAGATGGTCATGGACATCCTCCAAGGAGTTT